TAATCCCCCAATTTCATTACCAGCCTAGGCTCACATGGAAAGAAAAGAGCTTCAGTCTGGGAACGTCTATCTCTCTGCGTAAACCTTAAGAAAGGCAGTTCCACACACAGGAGAAAAATGAATTAAGAAGAAACACAGATTAAGTCCATTAGGAATTCTCTAAAAATTCAACAGTTTTTTAAAATTGTTGCTCTGAAACCTATCACGCCAGCTACTGGTAAATGTAAAACCCTCAGCTAAGCTAATAGAACAAAATAAAACCTACACTGTGAAATCCTAAAAATTATTTCTGTAATACAGATTACTGCCCATTAGAAATGTTCAAAACACGTGATGAACTTGATATTCGAAATAAGGTTCACTTGCGCTCCAGGCAAAGCAACACCTTTATTCCCCAGACGGCACTTATGATGACATCCAGTGGGCGACAGGAGATGTTTCTTGAATGAGAGGAGGAAGTAAATCAGCATCTTTTGTAGCGCAAGGGCAACTGAAATGCAAGACTTCACAGGATGGAAGGCTGAATGCGAAAAGCTCCTGTCAATTAAGTGGTTGGAAAAGGTTTTTTCATGTTTTAATTTATCTTTATTCAAAGGGGTTCCTTATATTGGCTAATTTGGTGGCCACTACAACACTTCCTTTCTAGGTAATATAATATTTGTGTTTTTAATATGTAAAATGAAATATAACGGTCACTTTATTGGTTAGCTGGATAATGGTATAGGTAGGACATTCAGAATTTGATAGTGAGAAAGTCACGGACACACCACCCTTATCAAGCACACATGCAGAAGGAACAGGATTGGGTAGGGAGTTCTGCTCGCTGGTGTGGAGGTGCTAACAGGGCCAGATGCAGTGATGAGCTGGGGGCGGACAGGGAGAGATGAAGGTGGCTCCCACACGCCTGCTGTGAGGGCTGGGGGAGGGATGGCTCCGCCCTGAGATACATGGACACTGAGGACAGGTGGAGGGGAGGAGCTCTCAGTTTGGGGGTGCCATAGCTAGCACCCAGGCGAGATCCACCGGTAGTTAAACCCCTGACACGGGGATTCCAAAGTCCTAAGCTTGTAAGCCACCATAAAAGAGCTAAAGTCGATGAAGAACATGCAGAGTGAGAACATAGGCTGGGAACAGAGCCCTCAGAAACCCCAATACTTCAGGTGGCCAAGGTGAAAATGAGTTCCCAAGAGATAGTGGAGGAAAAGCCAGGCAGGGCACCGAGAGAACCAGGAGAGTTTTAGGAGCAAGTCACCCACCAGCGAAGGCAGGCGAATCTGGCGACCTGCAGCCTGAGAAGCGCCCACTGACCTATCAGTCAGAGGTCCCTGGGGCCGGAGGAGAGGTTAGCAGGGTGCGAGGGCTGACGCCAGGCTGCAGGGAGCGGGGGAATGCGAGCTGTCAGTCACAGAGCATTTATTTCCGGTTTGGGGAGAGACCTGCACATACAGTATTTCTAGAAAGATGGGGGGAAGGGGTGACTGAGAAGATTCTGAAGGCATAAGAGGGGGAATAATTGATGCAGCGAGATCCTACATCCAGAGGACACAGGAGGAACCGAAACGGAGAGGGCGCCAAGTGGAGACAGAAAAGCCACCGAGGAAACTGTCCGAATAATGGGCAAGGAGAAAGTGGCTTCAACTAGGGGGGTGGCGGTGACAACGGGAAAGAAGCCTGCGAAACACAGTATGAAGGAGGGCTGCACCTGCTTGGTGGGGGAGAGTCGAAGGTAATTGACTTTCCTCGCTGCCATGACTGCGGCCATGACGGCGTGTTTGCAAACTACGAGGAAGTCAGGTCTGAGGAAAAGCGGGTGATAATGAAGTTTGGTTTAGACATGGCAAGTTGGGGGACACGGCTGGACAACCACATGGCAGAGACGGCAGGGTGTGCGTTAAAAAATCTGGGAGCTGTTGACCTAGAAGTTAAGACAGCTGGTGTTGAAATCTGAATGAAAGAGGAGAGGGAAGAAGTACAGGGAAAAACAGCTGAGAAGCCCGCTTGGTGGAATGTCCTCAGGCGACAGAGCAACGATGAAAAAACCTTTTAAAACAACAACCGGAAGTATGAAAAATACGTATCTTACGGCAATGGAGAGAAACTGTGTCACTCAACATTCGAGATAAATAATTTTTTTGAATATGTGAACATTAGCTAAACATGACATCTTCCCATGTGATTTTTTTTTTCTTTTTGAGTTATGCAGTCATTCCCCATACAGGCGATTCTTATAGAAGAATTTCTAAAGCGTTTTAAACATTATTGAAGAAATGCCTGAATTACCAAGGTGACTCCTCCAGACAACAGATTAATCTGTATATTTTATTTTTAGATAAATGCCAGTCATATTCATTTACAGTTGGGGATACCAATGAAATTCAATCAAGAAATACAAATTGTTCTGTCATCAGCCATATTTTGTGTTTACACCATAGTCTAGAACTGACTTCTATGAAATATCCATTAGTTCGTGAAAGGTGAGAAATCTTATGTACTTGAATACCTGTGAGGCAAAAGAACTAACCCCATTTAAGTTTCAATTTTATCTTCCTGGGAAAAGCATGAGCTAAGATAATTATATACCTTAAAAAATGGGCATTATCTCATCATGAAAATGCATTAAAGTAAGATTAAACCAGGAATGTATACATAATCACCCATTAAACCTTTTATTAAGTGGAGGGCAAAACATTTTGATAATTAACTAAAACTTTGAAAGAACAGGCAGATGTAACACAATTAGTGCTTCTATAGAACTGAGAACTTTTTCCTTCTCAGTTCTTTCTTCGCCTTGAGTGACCCCAAGTGACCCAATTTAAGATTTGAGCTCATCTAAAGTTACTTTTACCATTACTTGAGGGTGAGATAAAATTCTCAGTTCTTGGGCTGATGATGGCTTTAAAACCGCCTAATAATGAATGGCATACCTATGATAAAGAAAATGTATAGAAAAATATAATAAGCTGTGACTCCCGTGTTAGGATGCTCTTGCTAAGGAATAAGAAGTTGCTGAAGACGCAGAGGGACTGAAACTAGTGGGTGAGCGCATGATCCGCTTCTGTTCTGAGGGAAACCCTGAGTCAGTCTGTTCAAGGCCCGGCTATGCTGGAAAAGGAGTTGGATCAGGCCGTCCGTGATTCCTCCGTCAGCCTGAACTCTACTGCAGAGCCTGCGGCACAGGCACAGCACGGTCAGGGACCACTGTCAGTCCAGGATTCTGACTGGTTTCCCATCTTCACTTAGTCAGACGGGAGGGAAGTAGCCGTGGACCCATGAACAACAGCATCTCAAAAGCATGCCTCACATGGATCTTATGTCTCAGCTGTCTGTTATTTTAAAGTTTTCCTCATGTTCACAAATCATTCATTAAATTTCCTACATGTACCTGAGGATGTATCAATCTGCTATTCTGCTGTGTTTAGCTGACAGTGGCTGTCCACCTCCTGAAAAGACTTAGAGTGAATAATAAATGTATTTTCTTGGAATATGAGAATTCTTACTATTCTTCAACTGCTGCTTTTGTATTACAAAGGGTACATTTTTGAAATGCCAACTATGGGCCTAAACAAAAATGCTAGCAAGAAAACACAAAATAAATAGTTATAAAATGTGGTACATTTTACATGAGGGAGATGCATCTTACATAAGCATAGGTGCTCAAGTCGGTAAGGTGACATCATGGCATACTGCAGTTGATCCAAATATACTTAATGTCCTGAATTAACACCATGTATAATGCTTAGCATACCATGAGAGACTAATATAAAATCTGTAGTTCATTAACTCTAGAAGTATAGTATAAAGGCTCGAGAATTGTATATTCATGTATATTTTTTCATTTTACAGTATATATTATATGCATAGGGAGGATTACACAAACATATATATGTCTATATTGCGTGTGTGTGTGTGTGTGTGTGTATAAAACTTATGTGTGATTTAATGGATTTTTAAGAGTAATTTTGCCATTTTAGACTGATTTTAAAACCTGAATTGTATTCACCCACATACCAAGATGCAAACAGTGATCATCTCTGAGTGATATGATTGTGGATGATTTTAATTTATTGTTTTACTTGTACTTTCTAAATTTCTATAATTTGTGTTTATTAGAAAAACATATATTCTATTAAATCGTAGAATGCCATATTTACATTCTACTAAATCATGCTAGCTTCTGTTATGTACTAAAAGATAAATATCTCTTCTGAATAAAAACCAAGTGGATGGTCATGAACAAGTCAATGGTGCTACATCACAATACTCGCTCAACACTGCTAATGCAACAAGACCAGAAGAAGGAAGAGGAAACCCAACACTCGTACAGCATGAGACCCAACTATCCTTCTTTTCAAATGAAGTGGTTATATATCCATGGGAAATCTAAGGGAATATAAAAACTATTAGAATAAGAGTAAAAAAAGATTCGTGAATGTATGACCAAATCAACTCTTCTCACATACAAATAATAATCACTATAAAATTAGTAGGACAAAATCTCATTCACAGCAACAAGGAAATTTCTAAATCACCTAGGAGTCATCTAATGAAAGATGTGTGGCAATTTTATGAAGATAATTGATAAAACATTACTAAAGAATATTTTAAAGATATGAATAAATGTTAATAGACTGGAAGATTTAGCATCACAAATGAGCCAGCTTCTCATCAATACAATGTAATCAAATCCATCAAAGGCTCAACGGCAAGTTTTTGGTCAAATCAGAAAAATTCTAAAATATATGTGGATGAACAACGGGACCAAAATAGTCAAGACAATTCTGAAGAAAGAAACTACACATGAAGATTTGTCCTATCACATAAGAAAACTGAGTTGAGAGCAACAATAATTCATAATGTACAGTTGGTATAAAGACTGATGAACAAGGGAAGGTGCCAGAAGGGAAGGCACAGCACCAGGACCAGCGCACAGAGAAACCTGACCTACGACCGAGGTGGCCGCAGTCCCTGCGAAGTATTTCTCACTTGACTTCATTTCCTACCTTCCAGATGTGTTCTTCAGTATGGCGAGAGCGTCTGGATAGCCGTCCATGTTGTAGTCCCCAATATGCAGGGTGATGGGAATGGGTATTTCAGCAGGTCGCTGTTCGGGCACAAAGGGCACAAAGCCCCAGAGGGTGCCCTTATTGCTGAAATCCTGTAGGACTGGGACCCACTACGAATTAAGAGAAACACGACGAGGTTTTACAATTATGCTAGAAGAAAAAAATTCACCGTTTGCAAAGCAAATGCTCAATGACAAGTCCGCAAGGTAAGCATCATCTTACTTAAGCTCTTGATCTCTATAACATGGCGGGGTATTATGTTTTACTTTTCACAGACTCTTAGGATTAAAATGATATTAATAATTACATGGTTGAATTGCCCGCCTTAAAACCTGTGTTGAGTGGAAATATAACCTCAAATAAATAAGTTTTAAAAATTACAGCAAATTTACTATCTAAGACTGATGTCCTTCCAGGAGAACCAGTTTATGGAGAAAGTCAGAACGTGACAAAGTCTCCTGCTGTGCCGCTTATCCCTGACAAGGACTTTTGTCACCATCCTCAGGGCCCTGCAGTGCTGAGCCTTTCCCAACATACCAGCCCTGACAAGCTCTGCCTGCCCAGGATTATGAGCTCCGACACCCAAAGAGCCAGGAACTACACTCTTAATAAATTCTTTATTTCTATATTAATTATAATGAAGAGAACAGAGAGAATAGGTCGATTTCAAACTAAGCTTTTGGACATTCCTTTCTCTTCTGAATGCTCAAATCTTCACTTTTAGTAACTTAATGCAAACTGAAAATCTAAAGAGTGGAAATCACGCCATTAAAATTATACTCATATGAGCTAAGAGTATGGATACTGGCACATAACCTGGCTACATCCAAACAGAAGCGGCAGAGCTGGCCTGAAATGGCAGGAGGCCAAATATACCTGGAGATGTTTTTTCCCTAAAAGCAGGTGACTCATTTCAATGGATTCAAGCCAAGCTATATTAAAAATAGCTTCTTGGAAAGGATTTAGTACACAGGTATCCTGAACATTTTCTAGGTTATGCAAAGAAAGCATAATTTGCCATGGGAAAAAAAATATAGCTTAATGATAAAAACAAATTTACGGAGAATGAGCTGTTTTAGAATATTTGTCTCCATCTTGAATCAATTTTTCAATCTTTTATAAAGCAAAAAAGTATTACATATCATCAAAATGTTTTAATGTTTCACTTCACTTTGAAAAAAAATAGTTGGTTTTGTTTTGGAGGAGGGGAAATTTCACAAAATGCTAAATTATCACAGATTTCTGAACAGGTTGACAGTTTATTAATGAGGATGAAGTATTCCTGTTAAGGTAAACGTCTCGGGGTCTAAAACATAAAAAGATTTTTCATTAATGTGACATCTTTAACAGTCACAAAGAACTGTGACATTTATCTTCGCAAGAGAGAGATGACTGTATAATTTGAAAATATTCTTACAGTGGTCTGTCGCTTGGAGACAGGCTGTAATCACTAGGCTTACTTATACCTTATGGACCATGGATGAGGTGCTACTTCACCTAATGTTTGAAATGACTCAAAGTCAGAAAAAGTTCTAGATAATAAAACTTTGGAGTGTAATAGTTAAATGGTTTTAGGATGTTGACTGTATGAAGACTTGTTTTCTTTAGTGTCTTAGTATAAAATGTTATGTTTCCTACCTCTAAGGGCTATAAAAATCAATGGATTATTCTATCCTTTATTATTCCCAATGAGAAAATAAAACGGAATAATTCTGCTACTATAGTGCCAGTTTCCTTTCAGGTGCTAGCAATAACGGGAAGTTCCCAATGTTATAACCCATCATTCCCGCAATAATCTTCGGCGGTGACTATCAGATCCTAAATTGTTTACCTACAAGCTACAGGGAAAAAGTCAGCATGAGAGAATGAAATGGATCTGGAGACCACAAATCCAGGCAAGATTAGCCTTGAAAATAGATGTTAGATGTTCTACATAACCCTTTATTATAGTTACAGTGTGCTTCACCATATTCCCAGCATGTAAAATGCTAACAGATCATTTAATTACAGGGTCAAGGATGGGTGTTCTTCACCAGAAATGATGACAACTGTACTTTTTTTCCTTAATAAACCAGTAAACAATAGATTTCAATGCCTTTCATTAAGCTGCAGGGTTGAAGTCAATCGCTTATTTTCGGTTCCTCTCTGCTGTGATGCTTCAGATACCTTCAGTAACCGCTGAAGGCTTTTTCCAAGAGCACAGTTCTATGCACATTAACAAAACCGCTGCCGTACCTGCTTGGTTCCGGATCTCACTAGGTAGATGGAGCTCTTCTGACAGCTCTTATCCTCGCAGCCGGGGAGCAAGTGATCCATATGTCCGTCTCCATCTGCCCAAGAAAGTTCAAGAGTCAAGTGACAGCCATACAATAAGGTGCGCTGGACGGCAGGTTACATTTCCTATTCGTTCAGAATCTGCATCACTCTGGGAAACTGAAAAATTAGACACATGACTTTGAATAAATGTGATTCAATTAAAAAAAATACTCTGTCCCTTGCTTCCTATTACATGGACTGTGTCTTCTTTGAAATTGCTCACTTTTCTGTGCTTAAATATTTATCCAGTGTTGGCAAAAGACCCCATTTCAGGCTTTAATGTTAAAATCACCAATTTTTCAAAATGCAACTTTTGACTCATTTACATAATTATCATTGCTGCCACGGGAGAAAAATAAGCATGTCAATCGTAACCCATTATTACACGGCATATTTTAAATGTGTCTTTACATATAATTTATCTTTACGCACACTTGAAGTGTCTTTTGTACAGCATGAACTTCAAGAGTTATAAAGCTCTCAGCCACTGGGCTTCTAAAAGCAGCAATAAATTTTTATCAATAGAAAAGCAAATGAAGGGAATCCAGATGTCATTTCCAGCTGACTGGTTTTTAAAAAGCTGCTGGGTGTCTGCGAAGACCTCTAGGGATGAGGTCACTGAGGAAGCTTAAGTCCCTTCCTTCTGCCCCTCCTTTCTCCTGCCTGTGCCTGATGGGGTTGCTTCTGATGTCCCAGAGTTCAGTCTGCAAGGACACTCCTGGTGGGGTAGTCACCTCGCTTTCAAATCTGGGGCCTGAATTTGTGTTGCTTGAATCACTGATTCATTTGCTATGGTTTAATGTTGCATTTCATGTGTGCCTGAGGTAGTGTCTTCTGTAAGGATTAACGGTTCAGGTCCTTCCTCGTGCAGGTTTACATATTAAGATATCCAGCTATAATAAGCCTAACAAATCTCTAATAACGGAAAAAAAAAGAATTTTAGGCTGAGTAGAATGAAAATCTAGCCAATAGAAGCTGACCTCAGCAAGGAAAAGTGAAAGGCACAANACACACAGAAAAAAATCTTTCTGTCTTTGGGTTATTCAAAGATTTGTTAGATAAGACACTAAAATCATGATCCATAAAAGCAAAATCTGATAAATTGGACTTTACAATAATTTAAAACTTTTGCTCTTCAAAAGACTCTAAGAAAATGAAAAGACACACCACAGATTGGGAAAAAAAGATTTGCAAATCATACACCTGATATGAGACTGGTATTGAGAATATACAAAGAATCCTATAAGACACACAACCAATTAAAAAATGGACAACGAATTGGAAGACATATCACTAGAGAAAATATGACAAACACATGAAAAGACATTCAGCATCATTAGTCATAAGGGAAATGAAAATAGAAGGCAAAATAAGATACCACTACACGTTAAACAGAATGGTTATAATAAAAAAGATGACTACACGAAATGCTGACAAGGATGTGGAGAAACTGGAACCCTCACACCTGGGTGGTAATAACTTAAAAATGTATATCGACTTTGGAGAACGGTTTGGTAACTTGATAAAAAGTTAAGCAGACACTTACCATACCGACCTAGTAATTTCACTGCACAACTAGTTACAACCATGGAAAAATGAAACTGTGTGTCTATACAAAGTCTTTTAAGCAAATGGTCACACTGTGCACAAGGAAGACAGTCTTTGTGAAAACAGTTTGGAAAAGTACCCAAACAAATGGATTTCTACAGCCTCGAACCAGGGTGAGAATCTGCATTCCAGAGAAACCACATTATAAAATTCAAATATCCAGTTTACAACAAAAAAATCCAAGGGATACAAAGAAACAGGAAAGTCCATTCAAAAGAACAAAATTAACCCACAGAGGCCATCGTGGAGGAAGCCTAGATGTCAGACTTTAAATTTAAAATGCACAGGGCTGATTATACATTCATAACACCATGCACCATTAAAAACTTAAAATAACAGTATAGTTTTGAGAATACAATATGTCAGAGACAGCTTTACTAAAAAAAGCTTTACTTAGAAAGGGAAGAATCTATCACATACAAACCTGCCTGCAAAGGCTTTCAGGATTCAGGTCCCTGGCTCTCCCCAATATCTGTATATCTTAAAAGGAACAAATATAGCCCGGTCTGCTTTAAATGCTGAGTGTATATGAAATCAAGGCTCGGCAGTAGCAATTTTATAATCTGTGTGTAAATTACCATTTCCAATCAAAAAGCATTCAAAATATTTATCAGCAGCACATCTGGCATCTGTGACTCACCCAGTCAGATGCCTCAGTCTTTGCTAGAAAGTAGAAACTCAGGGGCTAGTCCCGTTTGCTATGGCAACCACTGTGGGCTGTGACACGGTGGCATGGACTGAAAAGGGAATACGGACAAAGCGGATTTACACGGGAAGAACACTCTAAGGCTGTCTAACAATCGCTTTACGTGCCACATGGCAATGTGTGCACATCAAATATTTCTGTTTGACCAAAATTTTACAGTGGTATTGTCTCTCTTTGGTGGGATGAGGCAAGGCAGCTGAGGAGACAACGGCCCAGCAGGTTAGAGGGAGAACTGTTCAAACTGGCTGCTTCTACTCTGATCGTGTCTGAATAAAACCGCACTAGAAGCGGCCAAAAGGCCAGTCAGAAGCTGGGCCGACACAGCGGCACGTGTGAGCGGTGTGAGCAATGCCCGTCTTCCGGGTGACCCGTGTTGTCAGAGGGCGGAAACCGAGTCCCGTTGAGCTCCGCCTGTGCTCTCCTCCTCGGGGGCTCTTGGCTCGCGGGGGACTTTCAAACGTGCTGTGGCTTCATTCCGGAACTTAGGTTCCAAAATGGTCCAGCTCTGTTGTAGTACTAGTCTTGTGAATGTCATGACCTAAAATATCTTAATATGAAACCAGCTTCCTCTCCTGATTTACTGTACTTACCACTATGAAGGCTGGTAGAGAAAGAATGATTCTCTCAGTCATCTAGAGGCAATTTGCTTTTACTCTCTGTCGTGTCAAACCAATCACTCAATGTACTGTTTCTCTGCCAAGTTTCTCACACCTGTCCCTCCATTTATTAATGTAGACAGTTCATGCTCCCAGCTCATGCCATGATTTATCTCCTGACTGGTTTCCATCCCTACAAAATCCAGTATTTTAAAACTGTTTCAGTCTACCTTTCTTTTGATATAAAAATCTCGGGCATCTCAGAGATTCTAATAATCTTCCCCTGAATTCCTGCTCCATGCCCAGGGAGTGTCACTTTCTGCAAAACCCATCAGGCCAGAAGATTTTGTTCAACTTTGCTTTCTGAAGTCAATTAAAAAAGTTATTAAGAGAGAGCTATTCAAAACTCTTCTACTACTTCCCACTGCTGTCACTGAATAAAATTAACATTTGTTCATCTGTTACTCTTGGTAATCCAATGTGCTCATCGGCCATTTTTACGTTTCCACATTTTTACAGAAACTCTTTATTCAAGACAAACTAGTTCAATTCACTAGTCACTAACCATACCGTTTCCACATCTCTACATTTTTAAGCCAAACCTCAGAGTCACTTCAAAGTCCTGTCTGAAATCCCACCTCTTTCATGAGACATCCTACCCTTTCTCAGCCGATAGTGACCTGTATGGACACAAGACTCTGAACTTTGTCTACGGCATTAATTTCACACATGTGAGTCTTTTGCCTTCCTAACTAGACAAGGGGATTACCTTAAAAATCTTGGCTTTCATACATGGTATTCAGCACAGTGTTCTAAGCCTAACAGAGGTCTAATGTTTTGCATTTTATGTGTAGGAATTAAAGACCATGTGAAAATATAGGACCTTCTGTAAAGGAGTTCGCCATGAAACTCAGAGGACAGGGTCAATTATAAGAACTGAGAAGCACTATGACAAAAGCAATCTGACAACACTTTAAGTACATACTTTGGTTTCCTTCTTGCCATTATTGACTATTACTCTTCTATAATTTACCTTTTCATTATTAAATAATATTTAAATGAGTCTAACCACATAACAGAAAATCTGAAAAGCAGGAGATAAAACAACCTATTATCCTACTTACACAACCATTACCATGTTGTCGTATTTCTTCCTAGTCTGTTTTTTTAAAAGGTGATGATGTCCTACAACGTACTGTTATGCTCTGTTCTCCTCACCAAATCTACACTGCCCTCATTCCTACCGGCTGGGCAACATCCCATGGAGTTCTATTTAGCTGAGCTCTGAGAAAGTTTTAGTTTTATGAAAGAAATAAAAGGCATTATAATTGGTTTGAATAGTCATGTGCCACATAACGACGTTTCGGTCAACAACAAACCGCATACACGACGGGGATCCCAGAAAACCATGACGGAGCTGAGGGACTCCTGTCACCTCGTGATGTCATAGCTATCATAACGTCACAGTGCATCGCATTACTCATGTGTGTGGTGATGCTGATGTAAACAAACCTGCTGCGTTGCCAGGCATGTAGAAGTACAGCATATGCGATTATGTACAGTGCAGAATACTTGATAATGACAATAAATGACTGTGTTTACTGGTTCATGCATTTACGGTACTATACCTTTAATCATTATGTCAGTGTCTTCTTTCTACTTAAGAAGAAAATGTTTGCTGTAACAGTGTTACAGCAGCAGCAGTCTCATGTATCTTGTGCTTGATTTAATCTTGTGTTGTTTTATAGATTTAGTGTGGCCTGAGTGTGCAGTGCTGGTAAAGTCTACAGTCATGGACAGTCATGTCCTAGGCCTTAACGTCCACTCACACTCACTCACTGACTTTCCCAGAGCAGCTTTCGGTCCTGCAGGCTCCACTCATGGTCAGTGCCTTGCACAGGTGGACCATCTTTTATCTTTCTTTTTTTTTTGGAGGGCAGTGTAACTGGCCCTCATATGTGGGATCCGAACCGGGGCCCTCTGGCATCCCACGCCAGTTCTTAACCATCGCGACACTCGGCTGGCCCTATCTTTCAGACTGTATGTTTACTGTACCATTTCTGTGTTAGACAGACACTTCCCTCTGTGTTACAATTGCCTGTAGGACTTGGTACAGTAACATGCTGTACAGGCTGGTAGCCCAAGGGTGCAGTGGGTTGGATCAGGTGGCTCAGGGGTGCAGTGGGCTGGACCATGTATGTAGCCCAGGTGTGCAGTGGGTTGGGCCATGTATGTAGCCCAGGTGTGCAGTGGGTTGGGCCATGTATGTAGCCCTGCTGTGCAGTGGGCTGGACCAGGTAGCCCAGGTGTGCAGTGCGCTGGATCATGTGGCCCAGGTATGCAGTGGGCTGGACCACGTGGCCCAAAGGTGCAGTGGGCTACCCCATGTGGTCTAGAGATGCAGTGGGCCGGACGGCCTAAGTGTGTGTGAGTGCACTCAGTGATGTTCGCATGACGACGAAATCACCGAATGACGCATTTCTCAGAATGCCTCCCTGTCGTTAAGCATGACTGTAGTTATTCCTTTTCTTTATTTGCTAAAGGGTCCTGATTTGATTTCAAACCAGATACCCACCTCACTTTGGATATACCAGAATAGCCTAATTTTAGGGCATTTTTAATATCTTTTAATATTTTATGTTAGCAGCTAAACACTGCATCATAGCTGTAAAATCGGCTGCTCCCAGGCAAGGTAACGAGCTGGGAGCCATTTAAACGCTGCGCTTTGGAAAACGGTTCTTCCTGGAAACAATGTCATTTAGTCAAGAATGTACTTTTTTTTTTTTTAACCAAATGAATGGCAAATTTCTGAAATCATGCTGACTTCACGCCTGCCAGTCCCTTCCCTCGACTTGGTTCAAAGGAAGTGGGAGGGGACAGGGATGGAGGGAAGGATGCAATTCACGGACGTATTCAAATGTATAGGAAAGTGCATATTTTGTATATTAATATTTATAAACTTATTCAATGCTATCTGCTTTTTGGACTCATTAGCAGTCTTTTTTTTTTTTTTTTCATAATACCCAACTAAGAAAAATGGACTTTTACACAGACATTGTGAGGTACTGATACATTAAAAGTTTACTGATATACTACCTAGTTATTAAAAATAGGGGAGAAATATTGTTACGTTTCTTAATTGACTATAGCCTATATTTTGCACATTTAAGAAACCTCAACATGTAAATGTCTATGTTTATGGTTACTGCAATTTTAAAAAATTTAAAGTAAAGCTACTAATAATTTTGTGAAAAGCAAGGCTTTTATCATAAAAGACACACAATCATAAAACAAGTAACTTTAATTTGGAGGCTCTTAGCCAAGGATTAAGGGAGGTCTGTCAGCCCCCCGAGGATTATATAACGCATACATACTTGTCCTAGAGAGAGACTTGCAAAGGGATTTGTCATTAATCCAGCTAATCAGGTCAATCAGCAAATTTAAAAAATAATTTCATGTATTCTATCACTTGACAATTTCCATTAAAGACTATAAATCAGGCACCAGAAATCTGCCGAAGATCAAAGTAACACTGAAAATACAATACAGCATGGAGGTTCGAGTTGAAATCCCCATCAAACACCAGCAGCAAACCCCCCGCTTTAGCTGTGCTGGGGTCCGGCTCTGGGACGCGGGACCATGAGCTGGCTTAGTTAGCTGAGCAAAGAGCAGCGGCGGGAACAAAACCAGGTGAGTCCAACGAAAAGACTCACACTATCCAACCGTTTCCTGTGCCCTTCCTGTGTGCCCGGCACCGTGCTCTCCTTACACTGTGTTATTCACAAATGCCCTGTGAGGTCGGCACAATATCACCGTCATTCTCGTTTCATAAATGAGAAACGGAGGCCTCCGGGTGTGGTGACACGTCACCTGCATTTTGCGGAACAGGCTGCGGTGTTTGTTGGCGGAATAAAGGGAAAGCAGGAAGGGACTGAGCTTTCACCTTTTGGGGGTGGTCATTGAGACCACTTGCCCACCTAATACCCAAATCCTTTTAATTATAACCCTGACAAACAGTGAAAGAGCCACAGATGTTTTGGAAGTTCCTAACCAATGTGAACTTGGTTTACTGTATAGAAGCCATGGAGAACACAGACTCATACGTCCTCTTGTAGCGAATTCCTAATAGATGTCACTCTTCTTCGGCATTAAGATGTAAAGAAAGATGATTTTTAGCGTTCAAGTTCAAAGAGGTCAGGTCAGCGCCAGTTATTTTGGTTCCCTAACCTGGATATATACGACTTTCTTGCAAACGGGAACCTCTTGGGTTCAAACTATAATCTAAACATCCATGTCATGAGTTGCTCCTTATTGCATTGAGGAATTGACCACATGCCACATATAATACTAGAATAGGCATCTTTTAAATCTATAATATAATAGTTCTGAAGATACTAAAGCGATTTTCTGATGTGAGTAATTAACATGGCTAGGTCAGAGAGAGGGGGAGAATGTGAAAGATGAAAACAATCTTACCGAAGTCTGCAAATGCCGACTGTCCAACCACCATCATATTTTGAGGTTTTTCAAATACAGTGTTGATGGAGAAATTTCCATCCTGTTAAAGGCAGACATTTTTGGATTAGACCATCATAATTCATTCATCAAGTGTAAAATAAAGCATTTTAACTAAAGCAGGGAAATAATTAAAGGCTTTTGTTGTACTGCACAAAAATTACTCCGATTTCCCGTTCCACTTGTATCCTAAAACAAAGGAAACTGCTGTGAGTTGATAAAGGTGCATCCGGACTGCTTTCTTTGCTGTCAATTCTGGTGTGACATCCTTTAATAAATCATCGTCATGATTGCAGACATGCTGAGTGTCTTCTACTTCAAGTACCACAGAGGGTCTTGGAAATATACAGAACTATAAAAAATAGTTCCTACTTTCAAAGAGCTCACAGTCCAGCTATGCGATAAGATATAAATCAGGAAAATAGAATTGCCGAAGGTAACCTATACGTGGTACACGCAAGTAGCAAAGATCCCATGTTTTACAGATTTCAAGGGGAGAATCTGTTGGGAACTATTAAGAAAAGATACTCAAATGAGATGAGAGCTATATTGATTCTTAAAGGGCCAATTTATTATCAACTCAAGTTGATGTTTCAATGAGAAGGGGAGGAAAAGATTACAACAGCTGCCATGTACTAAACAAAGGTGTAAGCTAAACAAAAAGGAGAACCCAGCAGAGATCCTTTGTCTCAGGTACTGTTTCCAAAACGAAGCAGCACACATCTGACTTGCAAAAATAATGTGCATTTCTTTAAATTATTATCTTTCTTTTACATAATTTGATTACTACATGAGAAAATAAACCACATCACTGACATTGAGATTTTGCGCTCTCAGTTTATATAGAGATCCCTTCTCATTACTGACATCTCTGTTGACTACTTGATACACTGACTCTGATTCCTACTTACTTTGTATAGGATACCTATATATTTTAAAGTAGCTTTCTTCCTTTGTTCTTCTAAGGGTTTGTCTACTACAGACCTGCAAGTTAGTTTTGAAGCAATCGCTCTGACATCTACAGAGAAAGGCATTACAACATTGAAAGCATGAAGCCGAATGCCTGAGGACCACGAGCAAGATTCGTCTTGTGACAGGAAGTTTTTCAACCATTTCAACAATCCATTATCCACAAGCAGAAACATGTCTCCCCTACCATCAGTAAAGTACCTGATGTACTTTTTGAGTGATTTTTCTACAGCAATCTTATTAACCTAAATGTCTTAAACCTTAGGACTCCCTTCCAGTCTTACGGAGTACCTGAAATTACATACAGACGTATCCTAGTTGCTCAATTTCTGACTGGAGTGTCAGGTGCTCTTGCATTTTGGAAAGCTCAGAGCACTGGGTGCAGAGGGGATACAATGATGCTAGAGTGAATAGGAAATCGCTCTTAAAATACATCAGCCTCATATAACATGAAGCTGGAGAGCAGCCCATAGACTGACTCAAGTGAACGAACTGCCCACTGAAGGTGCTGAATTTAATAAGTCCGTCTGGAAATGTTTCCAGACATAACCTTTCCACGTCCTGCCCCAAACCGCCCACTTCCCACTCTCTGAATGGGTCCTGTGTCTCCTGGGCATTTCCCTGCCCACTTCTTGGCCTTCCTCTCTTCCAACCACTAAAATCCTGCTCATCTGCACTATTTCAAACACCACGCCCTTTCTGAAGCCACCCCTGATGAGCCTGGCAGCTCCTTTCAATCCTTTCACACGAGCTGAGAGCCTCTCACCTGCCAGCCAGAGTCGCCAACTCACATCTCCGCCCCCTCCTGGCCTCAAGCTCTGCTCCCTCCTCTGNATTTCAAAGTAGGTAATGTTAGAAATATGAAGAGCCTTAAAAACGATGTCCATTCCTGACCTTCAGAATTTAACAGATGGGAAATTTTGGGCCCAGAAAGGCTAGGTTGCTTGTCCAGCGTGACACAGAGGAAGAGCCAAGACCTGACCCTGTCACGCGTCCCTTCAGCCGCACAGGTTCTAGGAATGCTTCTGGTTTAAGAATGGCCTGACGCAGGTACTGACTGGGGCAGAAGTCAAGCACAACTTCAGAATACTGATGGGGGCTTTTTCAACCACCTTGTTTATTAGCTCAGCAGTGTGCTCAAAGGTGCCAGAGCACTTTGAGGGGTAACTCATCTATGGGACAATTGAGACATCGTTTACTATCACCTTTATAAACACTTTCCAGGAGCCAGCCAAGTGGCTCAGTTGGTTAAGCACTCGCTCAAGAGTGTGAGCTCTGATTAACAGGGTCGCAGGTTGGATTCCCGGCCCAAGCTGAGCTGCCACTGAGCTGCCAACAGGTGGCAGGATGGCGCAGCTAAACAAACAAACAAACAAAAAAACCCACTTTCCAATTGTGTCCATAAGCACTGAAAAGAAATCACGGAAGAAAAAGGGGAGAACACATCTAGACGAGCAGCTGTCTCAGTTTCCATAAACACACAACGTTTTCCACTCTGGTACACAGGAGGGGTGTGCTCTGGGTGGAGGAAGAGAACAGATAATTCCTTACCATCTGCTAAGTCCTAGGAGAGGCTCCTTTATATACACTATCACATTTAATCCTGACAAAAACCATGACGAAAGTACTATTATTCTCACTGTACAGATGAGGACACTGAAGCTTGGTAATATTCATCACGCAGGCAGAAGGTAGTTAAGTGGCAGGTAAACCTGGGATTTAAAGTCAAGTCTAAGTCTATTATCCAAGGCTACCTCCTTCCCTTCCTGAAACTGACGTGTAATTCTGAAGGGTTCACCAGGATTAGAGACCTAGCCAACCACTGGGGAATACTGATCTTCCCTGGATTTGAAGGCAGGGGCCAGTGATGGAGAATACATCCTCCAGTGGGACTTTTTATCTTCTGAGTTTATCAGCTCAGTTGTAAGAAATGTGAACACTTGTTCTAAAATATTCTATTTACTAACACTGTATTCATCACAATAGAAAATGGCCAAGTAGCTTCGTAAGCTCATGAAGGAAGTAGGAGGGGCGGGCTTCTTACCCAGAGCTGCCTGGCCTGTGGGCTCCCGGCACGCTGCGCTAGTCCCTACGCTCATCCTTCTAATTCACAAAACAAGCGGAGTGGACACGAGGCCCTTTGTTGCTTTAAGGGATTGGACCTCTTTACCTTGCTCTTTAGCCAGGAAAACAAATGTATCCTGCATCACTGACTGGGTATTTACTAAGCAATAGTAAACTCTGAAAAACACAGTGGCCCAAATTTAGATTTCAAAAGTCAACAAACTGTGATAGCCACATCTGCATGGCTTCACTGTAGATTACATAGTGTCTTATTAATTTAGATATCCGCAATAACATTTAGGACATGCCATTCACCCTGTTTCTATATTGGCCCCCCCAGCAGGTCTTGTGAAATAATAGTGTTAGCATGTGAAAAAGCTTTCATCTGGTTGATCACTGATTTTGCAAAGGATAATGAAATCCACCAATGTCGCTCCCACCCAAAGACCTTCTCCTTAACACGGGAATATATTTTTTCTTAGTTCCTTGATAAATGAAGTAATAATGATGAGTTATGGTTACACAAAATACATTTCATTCTATGTTAAACACTTGCATCTAGGTGCAATAAACCTTTAAAAAATCCTAGAACAAGTAATTTCAGTTTTTCCCCCCATGACTCATTTCTTAAAGACTTGTTTCTAGGCAAATTATACATCTTTATGTGGGTGAAGAACTGTCAGCTGGATTATAATGCTGGAACTTGGGTCTATGTCATTTCAACCGGGACAACCACGCAATTCCTGAAGCTTCTTCCTCACTCTGAGCTACAGCAAATAATCATCAGTCAATACTAGTAAAATCTCTCAAATGCGCTCCATTTTATGGCGTTCCTCTCCCTACACACAAATATTATGACCAGAAAATGATCTAAGTAATATAGTACTCTGAGCTGAGGAAAAAGACATATTGTTTTCAAGACTTATTTACAATTAACATGAAATGGATCATAGAACTAAATGTAAGAGGTAAAATTAGAAAACATATAGGACACACAGAAAAAAATCTTTCTGTCTTTGGGTTATTCAAAGATTTGTTAGATAAGACACTAAAATCATGATCCATAAAAGCAAAATCTGATAAATTGGACTTTACAATAATTTAAAACTTTTGCTCTTCAAAAGACTCTAAGAAAATGAAAAGACACACCACAGATTGGGAAAAAAAGATTTGCAAATCATACACCTGATATGAGACTGGTATTGAGAATATACAAAGAATCCTATAAGACACACAACCAATTAAAAAATGGACAACGAATTGGAAGACATATCACTAGAGAAAATATGACAAACACATGAAAAGACATTCAGCATCATTAGTCATAAGGGAAATGAAAANAAAAAAATTAAATTTATTGGGGTAACATTGGTTAATAACATTATATAAGTGTCAGGTGTATAGTGCTAGAAAAAAATTGTACAGTAATCAAATTTTGTGATTGGCAATTTTCCGTCAGTTGTTTTCTTGAAGTGACAAGCTCACTTTGTTCATTTTAGAGAAAATGTAAACCAAATTCACAAGTCTGAATAACCAGGTTTGTCAGTTGTTCTTTCAAGTAAAAAATGATGTTACATTAAGAAAAAAAGTAGTTCAGCTTGTTACTCAGTGGCACCAATGCTTTTCAACACCCTGCAGCAGAAGTGTTTTACGCATACTTCCTATTTCCGGACACGGAGGATTAAAAAGGTGTGTACTCAAGGGTTGAAATTATTTTTTTCTGCTTCATCAAAAACATTCTTAAGCGAAACTATTTTTATTTCCTTCCTCTCTCTCCTCCTTTATTTTAACACTGTGAGTGAAGAATATCGCACATGCTAATTATGTGGATGGCCACTGCTTTGCCTCCTGCTAAATGGCAAGCAGCTCTTACCCACCCTGGCTTTCACATCATCACAACAGTGTCACACTGAAAAAGGCAAATGGAACCTTAGTATTATTCTGAAGATGGTTTTGACCTTGTGGATCCCCTGAAGAGTTGCAGGAAGTCCTGCCTCCCCCCCCTCCCCA